ATAACATTGCTGCTATCTCCACTATAGTCTAATTTACTCATCAGTTTCATTTTAGAATTTCGACTTATTGGTGTTAATGATGCTTCCACTCTTCTGAAAACAGTCATATTAAAAAGGTTGCAGAATTTTTCATGAATTTGGTCGAATTTTTTTTTTTTTAAGGCTCCAGTTTGCTATTTTGTGTTTCACTATATTAAGCAGTTGTTTCTAATGTTTTGCCCACCTCTTTTATGTTGAGGATTTCAAAAATGTAAAAAAAAAAAAAAAAAAACTTTGTTTAATAGAACACCACAAACTGTGACCTACGATTATTTTTCTCACTGTATTTGTTTCTGTAGATGTGTAACTGGAGATGAGTATCGGAGCTGGTCACATCTTTTAATGAACCAGTACTGAACATATTGTGACAGTTTATTTTTGCTTTACTGTGGTATTTTCAGCAGTGGCTGTCTGATGAGATCTTGCAATATTAAAATTTGACAGTATCAAAGTAAAAGCTGCCTCATAATATCAGTAGCTTGGCAAAAACACAACTACCTGCTGTGTTTTAACACATGGGGCTGAGGGGTTGCAGGGGGAGTGTTGTGGGCATGTACGATATGGCCACGTTGTGATGAGTCAGTGTGAACGGCTTATTCACATTTCCAGCTTGTGCTTTTCAGTTGTTTTGGTTAGCCATGCTGCTAACGTAGCCTACTCTACCTTAGCACCAATTCTACCACCAGTGTGTCGGCATTGATTGATAGATTAAAAAAAACAAAAACAAAACAGTTTAACATCCAGTACTAATGAAAATGCATGGCTTGTCGTTATGGTACATTAACTGTGGCCCAGATTCGACAGTGAATAGCAGTGAATGAATGAATAATACTGGAGAGATTCAGTCGATTTTGTCGCAAAACCTTTTACAGTGCTGGCATATTGCCTTGTTTTACTGAATATGATCATTCATACTCAAAATAGAAATGCTGTGGCATCCATTATAAGCTGGTTAGTTAAAATATTTCAAAATTTTTTTTTTTGTTGTTGTTGTTTTTTTTTTTTGCATTTTCTGACTTTCAGTTGAAAGAGTTTTTCCAGGCATATATTTCGTCATTGAAGATTTCTCTAAAGTAGTGCTAAAGCATCGTTTCATCTCGTTCTCGTGAACCCAGTGTTGTGTATCATCTCGCTTTGTGACCCAAGTGTTTAGGCACACCCCTAATAAACACACGCAAACCACAAAGTGCAGGGGTGTGGCATGTTTAAAGTTAGCAGGCAGTTGAAATGTTTGCAGTATGAAACAATAAATGCTCCCAAAAAAAAAAAAAAAAAAAAAAATTATAAGTGCTACTTATAGTTTAATAATAGGCAGTATGTCTGCAGTGCCAGGGTGGCAGCAACAGCTCATTTCAACATCTCAAAATGTTGCCAGTTAGCATTGTAGCAGTGTAATTGTGTTACATTACTTATAATCTGAAATCCTTATCTAAGGTGACTGCCATTACTTTGTCTGTTGTATATTTGACCCTGAGGACACACTGCTGGCTGAAAGTTGTCTCCATTAAACGCACAATCCACTCTCAGTAGAGACATAAGGTTAGGCACATAAGCAGTGCTGAGCCAACATGTCAGAGAACATCTACTCTTCTTCTGCTGTCTTGGCCACTGAGTTGTTGCTCGTCTCCTGGGTCATGAGCAGATCCCCAAACAACTCAGCTGTGGCTGCTTGATTCTCTTGTAAACATGATGCAACTGGCTTTGAGTTTGCCGCCGCTGACTGTGGAGTCTGTTGTTGTGGCCTGGCTACACTAGATGTAGAGCATGGATCCAGCAGCATAATTCTGTCCAAACCCAACCCGTACCCAGTCGTGTGGCAAACGAAACCGATATGGACCCGACAAGCGTATAGTATATAATATCCGACATCGTTTAGTTTGTACTGTTTTTCCCCTTATTATTAAACAAAGCAGACATTTGAGTGCTCCAGCTGTCTAGCCTAAAGTGGCCTACGTATCCGAACCAGATTTCATCCAGAAGTACTCCAGCTAGTTCCGTCTCATTTTGATTGCATTGCATTTTGCGTGTGCAATAACATGCAGAGTTCCTTATCCAGAGAAGAGATCCAGATAGAGATCGCATGTTAGCAGCAGATGTAGATGGGATCTAGCACAGTAGTCAGTGGAAATGAAAAGGTACATGAGCTCTGTTACATTTCTGTATATAGTTTTTTGCTGTGTATTTCTTAGGACAACCTAACTACAGTACATAGTCAGACTTGATCTAGACTAGATGTAGGTCAACAGCTGTTTCCGTTTCCACAATCTGTTTAGTGGTGAATTGTCTTGTATTTTGGCTGAAGTCAAGTTTAAGAAATATTTATTTGAGGCTGATTTTTCAAACAAATTCAGAAAGAGGCATGTTTTCTTTGTCACTTTAATTATTGCCTCCTCCAAGGGTGGGGGTTGTGTTTTTGCTGGCATTTGTTGGTTTGTTTGTTTGTTAAGAGGATAACTCAAAAAACAATGAATGAAATTTTTGGAGATGTGGGGTATTGGACCACAGTTGATTAGATTTTGGTGCTGATCTGTATCATAATTTGGATACAGGGATATTTAAAAGATTATTCACTACTGTGAGTGCTGCAAAGTCTGCTTGGCTGCATGTGAGCGTCCTCGTAGCCAAAGTGCACGGCTGTGCTGCACATGCGGAGACAAATCCCTGGGTTAGTGACGGCTGCCCATCCATTGACAGTGGAAACCGAGTGCTGTCACTCAGTACACCCCGCTGTGTGAGACGGGGACTGAAGGAACCCAGAGACAGCGACAGCTGGGCGAGAGCCTGATGGCAGAGATTTGGAGCCAGGCTCCAAGCTGTTAATGTTTTGGTCCGTAGGACTGGGATTATGACACTTTATTATAAAGTTTTGACTTTTTTTCAGGCGACAAAGTGACCGCTTAGATTGAGAATATGTGATCAGGCTATTCAAGTAATGCCAGGTTTGAAAATTGTTCCAGTGTTTTTGGAGATGTTAGGGCCCGTCATCTGGCCAAGCAGGCAGCTTCAGCCGGGCACAGCAGTCTATCAGCGAGCACAGCAGTGTTCCAGCTGTGCATTATAGCTGTGTTTTTACTGTTGGAACCTGATGAGCGGTACACCACGTGCTTCCCTTTACCGTCACCAGGCATAACCTCACAAGTTGATATGGACCATCCTACTTTGTTTTTTGACTGTATTTTACACTGTGCTGGTCTTGAGGGGCCGCGCTCCTCCAGTAACACTGACTGTATGAGCAATTTATCAAACAGCTGTTGAACAAACAACACAAACTGGCGGAAATGTGACGTCTTCATCGCTTTGACTGCAGTCTATGTAACAGGAGGCTGTGCAACTTACCTGAGAACTTTGTGATAACAAACACGGGACTACCACCATTCCTATTAAATAACATGTAACTCACTGGATTTCTGTAGCCTGTTACACAGCATTCTGGCATACAGTGGATTTTAATCTTTGTAGGAGTGCAACCCTGCATTTGGGTGTAATGATATTACAACCCTCTGACCAAAACATCACAGTTTAGGAGTGCATAATATCACAGTGGAATTTTAAATGTTTGATTTAACAAGGGTACATGTTCTTACTTTAAACTGGCTGCTGTCTGTTGCTTTGTCCTTTCCTCGCTGCTGGACACACACTGTACCTGCTCTACTGCAGAGGAGCTGCTGGTCTCGTTCTCCAAATCCACAAGGAGTCAACCCATTTTTGTACACAGATCCTATTTGATGTCACCACTGACTACATAAAGTTAGCGTTTGTTTTCCTCACATTCACAACAGTTCACTATAATCAGAGCAAGTACCATATGGGTTATTTGGGTGAACAGATCAGGCATTTTGCCTGCTGGGGGAGTGAAGACATTGCATTTTTGCAAGTTTGTTATTGTGTTCCATTTCTTCAACAGGTGCATCATTAATTACTCCCTCCATTACTTGTGGCTTTGTTGCACATATCAAGCGTTGTCTGTGTAAAATGTGTGTTCACACACACACACAACAGACAAGCTGAGCTTGCAGTCAGCTTTACATTTGTTGTTGGCTGTCATGAATCGGCGCGTGATGCTGCCGAAAATGTTGGTGAACTCATTAAAAGGCCAGACGAGGGAATGTAAAACAAAACCGTCTCTTTAATAAGAGAACTAATGCTAAACAAAAACCCATACAAGACACGGTGAAACACAAAACTCACAGTCGGTATAACGGTCCAAGATCAGAGCCAGCAAACACATATATCAAAGGGAATCCAAAATTCGTTGTCCAAAGGGAAGTCCGATAATCATACACAGTGGCAGTCCGTAACAAGAGGGCAAGGCAGAACAGAATAGTCAGAGCACACGATCCAGGTCAAAACACGAGAAATACACAAACCGAATATAATGCTGGAAAATCAGAGCTGGCGTCTAGAATAATCTGGCGGGGCCTGGTGGGTGAAGGCTGCTTATAATGCGGTGCAAACGGGAGCAGGTGAATCTAATGTGAGTGATTAGTGAAAGTAAAAAGAAAACAAAAACAGGAAGTAAGGTCAAAATAAAAGCCGGACAGGAAGCAGCGGAACCGAATCATGACAGTTGGCACTTATGTTAAAATATCCCCGAACTAATGAAATGTCTTCTCTGCTGCCTAATGACCGGCTCAGCCAACATGAGCTTAATTTAATGCTGCCGTTAATTGGTATTGATGGGACAACTAATATGAGTAGAGTAGAGTAGAATACTAGACCCGATACTGGTAACGTTGCATCCCTAGCATGTTGTTTTCTTTGAGTACTTTCCCAAAGGGAATTGTTGGGTTTTTCTGTAATACTGTAAGGTCTAGACCTTACTATGTCCTTGTTGTTGTGAATTGGTGCTATAGCCCTTGGTGGAGGTTTGCACTCTCTGTGCACTGTCTAGTTGTGTTCATGTATCATGTTTATGACTCAGTAGTGTTAATGGGGAGTTTTTCCTTCTCTCTGCTTTTCAGGCTAGGTGTGTGCGTGCTGACCTCATGGTGTAACGGGAGTAAAGATGAGCATTAGCAGTGATGAGGTCAACTTCCTGGTCTACAGATACCTACAGGAGTCAGGTATCCTCTCAAGTCCTTCAGCGTGTTTGTGTTTCTTATTGAAAATGTCCAGCCACTGCTCTGCTTTAAGAAGTAACTGAATGCTTAGAACACATTGTTACAGAGTTTAACACTTTCCTGCAAATCTGCTTTTGACATCCACTGTATTTTTTGTTTTCATTTTTTATAATGTCTAGCATGTCGTCAGCCACCAGACTTTGGATATCGAGCAGTTGCCAGAATCATGTTGCCCTTTCCTTTTAACACAAGTCTGTTCTGTGAAAAAAAGAAATTTGCCAACACCACAAAAGTTTTAGTTGTCATTGTTGTTTTTATTTAATCAGTACCATTTATCACACATTTACTTACAAGTAAATATGAATAGAAAATATCTAGAGTAAAAATGTGAGCAGGGACATATTTTATTTTAAAAACAAAATAATGTGATTTTTTTTTTTTTTTTTTTTAAGATACAGATATTGGTGCAATTTAATACACCAGCAAAATGCTTTATTATTCTGTTATTGTCTCTTTTTTTTACCTTTTTTACCTTGGGTCAGCTTGGTGTATAAGAACCACACAACCTTTGGGTCAGCTCTGTTGAATAAAAGGCCTAATGTAGTGACAATAAACAGTGTGGGCAGTTCTTTTCACACAGTTAATAGAACAGAATAAGTGGCAATTGTCCACAAATTAATCAGCCATACATGGTAAACAAACTGAGTTTATGTAGTGCTTTTTCCCTGAAGACAATGCTCAAGGCTTTGAGTGTCACTTTCACCCACGCAAACATACACAACAACAGTGATGGTAGAAAAAGTACTGACCTGCACATCAGGAGTGGATGGGAGGTCACTTGGTAGATGATGGAGCTTAGCTATTCTGTATTAGCCACATGTACCAAATGGATAAAATAGCCATTTTGGTCCCTCCTTCTACACTCATTAACCTATTGTGTGGACATGATGGAGATTTTTACACATATATTAAACATCTTTTACAAATCTGCTCTTTAATTTTCCTTGAGATGCATCTCTTAACTAGAGTCCACCTGAGGTAAAGACGCACACCTTTTTATATAAGGTTCCAAAATTCACACTGCATGCCAGGACAAACTCAAGCCAAGATGTCCAACAAAATGTACTTTCCATCTTATCCTTTCTCTCCTGCCTTCTCACTTTCTGTCTTCTCATTTCCAGGGTTCTCCCATTCAGCGTTTACATTTGGTATAGAGAGTCACATCAGCCAGTCCAACATCAATGGTGCTCTGGTTCCCCCTGCTGCCCTCATCAGCATCATCCAGAAAGGCCTGCAGTACGTTGAGGCTGAAGTCAGCATCAATGAGGTGGGACACAAGCTAGATCATATAAACTCTTCTCTTCCCTCGCTTGTATTTCCTCTCTACATGCTCATTTGTTCTGCTCCTTAGGATGGAACGTTATTTGATGGGCGGCCCATTGAGTCTCTGTCCCTGATCGATGCTGTGATGCCGGACGTCGTTCAGACGAGGCAGCAGGCTTACCGGGACAAAATGGCCCAGCAGCAGGCTGCTGCTTCAGCACCTTCATCAGCCACTGGAGGCAGCATAGCTGGCAACACCAAGAACGGAGAGAATACTGCCAACGGGGAGGAGAACGGAGCCCACGCCTTAGCAAGTGAGTGATGCCGTATGTTCCGATCGAAAAGGATGTGCAGTAGTAGCTATCTGATCAGCTAAGTGCAGTGACAAAGCTGCTTTTAACTATTTGAGCAGCATTTTTATTAAAGATGAAAGTTAGTTTTTAACATTAGCAGTATTAGTTTGACAAAAAAAATCTGAAATACAAACCCGGATCCCGGATAAGCGGAAGAAAATGGATGGATGGATGGATGGATGGATGGATGGAAGTACAAATAAATTATCTGTGTCTGAATATTCTCGGCTTGTTAACTTCATCTCCTGCTTTGCTGTATTTCACCCATCAAACTCTGTGCTCAGACAACCACGCAGACCTGATGGAGGTGGACGGGGATGTGGAGATCCCTCAGAACAAGGCCATGGTCTTGAGGGGCCACGAGTCAGAGGTCTTCATCTGTGCCTGGAATCCTGTCAGTGATCTGCTGGCATCGGGGTGAGTCACATTCCCTTTCTGGCATTTCTCTTTGGACACTGCTCTGTCACTTCAGAAAATATTCAGACCCTTGCATTCATTGTGTTGTACCTTTAATTTTAATCCCTATTCAGGCCCTTGGCTGTGGCAGTCCAGTCTGTGGTCATGTGCATCCTGTTTGCTTTAATTATCCTTGGAGTCCAGCTGTGGCAAACTGAACTGATTGGACATAGTTTATAAAGGCACACCTGTGTATATAAGGTCCTACAGTTCACACTGCACATGAGGACAAAAACCAAGCCATGAAGTCCTCTCTGCAGACCTCTGTTATAAAATTCTGGCAAGGCATAGATCAGGCCAAGGGTATAAAACCCTTTGTAAAGCTGGCAGTGCTGGCTGCCAGGGCTGGGCTTCAGTGTTGGTTTTCAACAGAAATAAAATAGGTAAAGACATCCATCACAATTTCCCAGAACCCAAGGTTATGTTTTAAAATTGCTTCTCTTGTCTAGACCACAGCCCCAGTTTTCCATTATTTTCAGTGGCATAAAACAGGAAAGCATCCAATTAATCAATCACCATTTTGCTTCTGTTGATCTGTTAATCAAGTGTTAGAGGTTTGGTATTATGATTATCGTTTTGTGCAGTTCAGTTGACAAAATTAATTATATCAAGCAAACTTAACTATAAACCACTGATGAGGAGGTCTTAAAGGGGGCATTAAAAACCAAATCAAATAATGAATAATATTTGACTGCTTCACCTTAAGATGCTGTATGAAACAACAGCTGTCCTGTCGTGTGCACTTATCACAGTCATTTAGGCTAATCTCTTTATGTCATCCCAGCATGGAGCACATGACCTCCGTGGCTAACTGCTAGATAAAGCAGTCTGAAGTGTCTGTGTCTGCCTCAGGTCGGGTGATTCGACTGCTCGTATTTGGAACCTGAGTGAGAACAGTACCAGCAGCTCCACACAGCTGGTGCTCAGACACTGCATACGAGAAGGAGGACAGGATGTCCCCAGCAACAAAGACGTCACCTCACTAGACTGGAATGTAAGGATACTAACGCATGTGCACATGCTGTAAAATAAGTTGCCCTCTGTGGGTGCATTCATTAAAATGTGATATCAGGTCAGGGTTGTAGGAATAACAAATAATTCTGAATGTGAAAGTGCTGTTTCATGTGTTACCATGCCATGTGGTGTGTTCTGAAACTTTGGGTAGCGTTTGCAACACTGGAACATTTTCAAAACAAACAAATAAAAAAAATGATACAACATGTTGAGCACCAGAAAGGCAATTTACAGCAACTGCTTCATCCCAGAAGAATTCCCAGAGTGCCTCTGACCATAAGTACTGTTGATGCCTTAGAATGAAAGAGTATCAGAGTGGAATGTTCCTTCATTTCAGCCAGTGGGACAGTAAACCTGAGCCAAGGGCAGAGGCAACATTTTCCTGGAAAGTGTCCACACTAATAGAACACACAAGCCTCTCTTGTAATACCAGCTGAATCACAGCAAATGTTCATTGAGCCTGGCGTCTTTCCAGGCAAACAGGGTCTGTAAACTTGTAGGTATATGCCTCCGTCTGACAGACACACACACCTGATGCTTCTCTCTCTCTCTCTTCCTCTGTGACAGAGCGAGGGCACACTGTTAGCCACAGGCTCCTATGATGGCTTTGCCAGAATATGGACGAAGGATGGTGAGATGACTTAAATTTAATAAACATGAGCATGTATTGTTTAATTTCCAGGGTGTTTTTTTTCAACTTATTACTAACTTATAATAACTTAATACTTCTTAGCAGTATAAAAGTGTGTTTACTAAAAAGTATTAAATTAACAAATGTTGCTGTAGAAACAAACCATCATCATGGTTGTGGTGCGTAACCTGTAGGACAGTCTACATGTCACTGGCTCAGTCCATCCTTGGACAATGCTGCCACCTACAGGCTTGTCTGTGCATTGTCATGGTGTCAGTTTGTCTGAGTTATGGTGTATTTTCTGTCAGGTGTTCAGGTATTTTGTGTTATTTAGATCCTTCACGGCTTCTTGTTGTAGTTATTTTACATTTGATACTGACACATTTTGTTCGTGTCCACAGGTAACCTAGCCAGCACACTGGGCCAACACAAAGGTCCCATCTTTGCCCTTAAGTGGAATAAAAAAGGCAATTTTATCTTGAGTGCAGGAGTAGACAAGGTGACCCAGGATCTCTTCTCATTTTCCTCAGAATTCAATATATGAAGAAAAATGTTTTCCATTTTCTCATGCAACCTGTCCAAGTTGTTCTCTGTAGTCATTATTAGCTCTAACTGTAACACATGTCCTCCCAGACAACAATCATATGGGATGCCCATACAGGAGAAGCCAAACAACAGTTTCCCTTCCATTCAGGTACCAAAGCATCTTAACCACTGGTTTTGAGACTTTAGCTGTTAACTGATTGTAATGTCTTGCAGCGTGTCCTTTCTGCTAACATCTTTTCACCTCCCACAGCTCCAGCATTAGATGTGGATTGGCAAAGCAACAATACATTTGCTTCTTGTAGTACAGATATGTGCATCCACGTCTGTAAACTAGGACAAGACAGACCCATTAAAACATTCCAGGGACACACAGTAAGTGCTTTGTTTGTATGTGCGTGTATGCACTACCTCCTCATTACTGTGTAGCACAGAATAATTTTTATTGCCCATGTTCTACATGAATATTGGGTCCAAATTTGTTTGGATGAGGGTATTTGTGAGTAATAAGTAGGGTTGCACAGGTCATCCCTCTCTTTTCTCGCCTCAGAATGAAGTAAATGCAATCAAGTGGGATCCCACAGGGAACCTGCTAGCCTCCTGCTCAGACGACATGACACTGAAGGTGAGCTAAGAACTAAACCTGGTGAAATATTAGACTTTGTGTGCCACTATAACTAAAGGGCAGTAATGATATATTCATGATGACTAGGGATTCTGAAAGGGAAATACATGTCACTGGCTCTTATGACTAATGTTTGGCAGAAATTTCTGAGCTGATGCTCTTGACAGATTTCAGACTTAGAGCATGTAGGTGTGACGATTAGCAATGAGCTATTATTCTCACAGTCATAACAGTTGTTCGCCTTGTTGGTTGTCACTGTTCCTAATGTGCCTTTAAGAAAGATGCTATCCCAAAGTGTTTATTGCTCTGAGAAAAGCCAAATATTTTCTTGTTGGCAGCCACTTCTGTGGTGCTTGACTTATCTCAGGCAGAAGGAATTGCAAAAGCAAAGTTTCCCAGGTCACTGGTCAAAAACTGGTGATGTGGAAATGTGTTTGCAGAAGGCTACACATTAACACACCTGCAAGTTAATATAATGTTGCTTTGGGGTTTGTGTGTTTTCAGATCTGGAGTATGAAGCAGGACATGTGCGTCCATGACCTGCAGGCCCACAGTAAAGAAATCTACACCATCAAATGGAGTCCCACCGGGCCTGGAACCAGCAATCCCAGTGCTAACCTCATGCTAGCCAGGTGTGTGTTACAGAAAAATACAGTCACTATACTGGTGACCTAGTTCAGTTCTGGGAAGGAAATGCTGTAAGTACACTCTAGTCTTTTAACTTGTTGTACACACAAGCAGTAAATATGTTACAGCAGTTTATAGTTGACATCATTTGATTTTCACTGTTAGCCTCCTGGCTAGTTTGCTAGTGATTAAATTGGATTTGTGACCAGCGCTGTCCCCTCTTTCAGATAGAAAGTGGCTAGTGCTGTGAGCAAAATCGGTAGAGTTTTCACGTTGCCTCTGCTCACTCGGAGACTCCCCGTTAACAACAAAGATGTAACGTTTTGTGCCACTAGATAACTTTTATCGCCTTTTACACTCATCCTTTACATAAGTGGAGAAAACGTGACAAAACTATACCTCTTTACATCATTGTCTACATTAAGAATCTTGAATAGGTCTGATCTACTGAGGGCCGACATGTAACAGAGCTATGCCTACACATTCTGCCCATCTACTAGGAATTGCCTGACTTAAAACACACCGGACAGGCATGTCAATGGAAATGTTTCTGTGACTTTCCTTTATACCACATTAACGTGTGTACTGCTCTGTACCAACATAAATTGGGTCATATGACTGTGGGAATTTAGACCATGAATTCAGACACACAGCTGTTGCTCCACTTTGCCCTCTGTGTGTGGCTGGATACCTAGTTTCTACTGGCAGCACGGGTTTATGTCGCAGCACGCATGGGTCAAAGTTTAACTAGGCTGAACTTTGAACTCTGCTCGCATGCGAGCTCACCAAGCTGTGCATTACGCTGCACATGCACTTTGCTCAGCACAGCAACAAACCACTGTGGAGCAGCTCAAACCATTGAAAATGAGCTGGGTTTCAGAGCACAGCGGTGCCGTTGTCACTAAGAGCCATTAGGCTCCTAGGCCATGTGGAAGGGATACTCGGGTTAAAGCAAGAGAAATTATTCTGGTGTCCTACATGAAAAAAATTATACTGTGTTGCAGAGGTGAAAAATAAATAATTACATTTAGTTTTTTTTTATTGTCTGCTACGTGCTTCATTACATTTCAGACACGTGTACTTTTTCTACATTACATGTATGTGATAGTTTTCATTATATTCTAAAAATAACCAAGTACAATATAATTAAGAGACTAGTAGTATAATGTATAAGATATGTTAGTAGTTTAGATGTCTGATTTTATTTATGTAGAAAAACTACTTGAAAGTGTAAAGGTTTAAATAATGTGGTATAGTCTGACATCTGGCAGAGATGTTGCACAGCACCATTACACTTTTGACATGTTTCTCTCATTGTACCTTGATTTGACAGCAGTACCTCTATAACCCCATTTGTCACTTGTTTCCTGCTTCCACAGTGCATCATTTGACTCCACAGTTCGTCTCTGGGATGTGGAGCGAGGCATCTGTATCCATACGCTGACTAAACACCAAGAGCCGGTCTACAGCGTAGCTTTCAGTCCTGATGGTCGGCATCTGGCCAGTGGCTCCTTTGACAAATGCGTGCACATCTGGAATACACAGGTAGGAAAAGACCTAGCAGTCTGTGTGTTGGAAGCCATGATAAGGAAATGATTTCAGTCTGCTTTCGCAGCTGCTTAAGGCAGATCCCGGCCAGTGTCATAGCAGGTTAAACACATGGACCAATAAAGTTATGTGACATCACACCTTTCACAAACAGTAATAACTATGTATTGTGGCTGCAAGACTGCTGCCCTCAAGTGGTCAAAGAAACGAATTACTGCAGCTTCAAGGCTCCTGCTTTGGTCTGCTTTTATTATATACCCCCCCCCCGGGTTCCTGGTAACAGTCTGAAGCCCACCTAACATCCCTTCACCTCATTCTCTGCTTCTCTGATGTATCTGCAGACGGGCGCTTTAGTCCACAGTTACAGAGGAACAGGGGGAATCTTTGAGGTTTGCTGGAATGCAGCAGGGGATAAAGTGGGAGCCAGCGCGTCAGATGGATCTGTAAGTCTGCACAGGTCTATTAGGAGGCACGTTTAGCTGTGTATCTACAGTACTCACCTCCAGATTTGATTGTAATATAGTTTTGTCTTAGTTTGTCAGCTTGATCTCTTTGCCTCCAGGTGTGTGTACTAGACCTTCGGAAATAGTGCTGCTGTTTGTTGGAAGCCATGGACCGACCATGAATGTGTACATAGCCAAATGACTGTCCCTGCCTGCCCTGCGTACTGCTCACGCTTACGACTACGGCCCCGCCCACCGACAGACAGGAAGCAGGAAACGGGAACAGGATGCAAGCACCTGACACAGTAGGTCCAGACACAGGGATGAACAGATGGATGGACGAAAAGACGGACAAATGAGCAGATGGAAGCGCCCCTCTCTGTCTGTGCAGACTCTGAGAGAAATGCAGAAGGGACGCAGTGAAAAAAGACAAAACTGATAGACAAAAAAGTTACAGATCCGTATATGTACCGAAATTTGGAAGCTATTTTGCTTTTTTGATCTTTAAACCATGCTAATCGTCATCAAAATGAAAAACAATGAAAAAAGTATTGATCTTTGTTACTAGTTGGATTTCATTGTGCAGACATATCAACTCCACCATACAATAGGACAGCACTTATTATTTTTTAAATTTCAAATCTCTTGTTTCAATGTTTTTATATTTTTTATCTTTTGGGGGAGGAAGCGTGGGCTGGTCAGTTGAAGTCAGCGGAGACGTACATGCACACGCACGCCAAACGGTTCTCAAAGACAGTGTCATGATTTCAGACCAGTGGTGCAAACCTAATGGCTTTTTCTTCATGTATGTTAGCAGTGGGTCAACATGCAGTAATCCATGTGTCATATTCTCCAGAGGACAGACTCTGGATTCCCTTGTATCTCCACCTGGGCACATGACACTGATGATGTACTACTAGATGCTTTAATAGCGGCTCCTCTGTGCACTATTTGACCAGGGCGGTTTTCTCCACGCTTACAGATCCCTGTCTGACTGGGAAAGGTTTAATTTGACAAGAAGCTGACTGTTCCCTCCACTTGTATGAATGTTCCAAGCTCTTCTGATTTTTATGTAATGCCACAGTCATTTGGGTCCCATCTCAAATCAGGTTCAGCCACTGGGGGTTTTAACAGTTCTTTACTTTTACTCCCCATCCATCCATTCAAATTCATATTAATAGCTTTGTGATGCAATCTGAATAGTGTTCTCTATGACATTTCTGATTTGATTCACTGACACCCTCAAGGGCCTCAAATCAAATGCATGAAGCCCTGAAATGGTGTGATAAAATGTGTCATCTACCTGTTGTGATGTTTTTGCACATTTGAGATTTTCTGAGGGCAGAAATAATCTCAGTGAGTTGCACCACAGAGAGCAGAGCCCAAGAGCAATCCACCAAATACAAGTGGGTTGGCTAATAATCAAGACTGGAGCTCCAGTAGAGGGACGACACAACAGCTTTGTTTAGCATCAGGCAGCTGCAAGACTCGGACTGGACTTCCACAGGCTCAAGAGAACCTGACAGATGTAGGACATAATTAAATGTTAAAAACTAAATGATTTACTTAAACCACAACAGATGGATCACAAATAAACTGGTCTGCAAGTCAGCACACACATAGAAACAATCGAGCACAGAATCCGCTTATACAGACCACACGTCTTAAAATGGGAATTCAAAGCTGACCACCCGTGCTGTGTGCAACAAGTTTAACGATTAAGCTAATGATCTGGTGTTGCTTTAACATGCACTTGTGAGCTTCTGACACTTTCAGTTGGGAGAGTGATGAATTTCAACTATTCAACAGAAATGCAAAAGGCACTGAGGGGAAAAAATCACATTTGTAAAACAGCTAATATGTAATAGATGGAGCAGCCTGTCATCTGGTCCAGGCAGAATCCTAACAGCAGATACGAAAAAGGAAGATAATCCACCTTAAATTGTGCACAGTACATGTGAGCACAGTATCATGACGTCCTTTCTCCAGTTGGTTTAACGTGTGCTGTAGCGGAATGGGGTGGTTTTCCTTCTTGTCTTCTTGACTAAAATTTTATCTTTAGAATCCAGTTTTTGCCAGTTTACCAACTTGTTCCACTTTGGGAAACCTGCTGTTCTTTGGCTCTGCTCTGCTCTGCTGAAGGTTTAATTCAAACGGTAAACTCGTTAATATTTGCCTTCAAAACTTGTGTAACTGACAGGTCAATCTGCTGAGATTTTATTCTCTTTCAATAACACGAGCACCCGTATCTCTCTGGCATGGACTGGTGGGCTTCAGCGTCTCAGGCTGTGAAAGAGACGCTCCATGTTCCCTTTCAGACGTCCCAACATACCTGCAGTGTCACTCCCGTGTAAATGCAGCCATAAGGATTGTATTATATGTCATGTTGAATCTTACTGGGTGATCCCTGGCATGAGGTTGCTCTTCAGAATCAAGTCCCAAAATGGATCAGACATATCAAAGCAATATCTGGTCATTTTAATTTGGTTTTATCACCGTGTATTTGTCATAAGGTGGGGGAATAACTACACTGAACTGTTGGAGGACATCCCCTACCACATGACAGCATTGGTGAGTTAAAAACTGTAAAACAGAAAAATGTACTTTTAATTCATGGGCTCTCTCATTCATCACCAGAACTCTGCTCACATTTTACTCTTGAGGTCCCATACATAGAAAACATTTTATAGACTTTTAAGGACAAATTTAAAGTAACATTTTTGTCATTTTTTTGTAGATTTGAAAATAATGTGAATTGATGATTTATTGGCAGTGTTAATTTACATGTTCTATAAACTAAAGATTTTGGTTTGTTACTTTATTACTGTTGCAGAGAGTAAAGGCTGACCCTGAAGTGTAAGGCTTGATGAGTAGAGCTGTCATCCTGGCACCTTGTCTGGGAGCAGTTTTCCCAGAAGCAAATTACCACTAAGTTTGTGTGTTTTAATAAAGAAATGTTTTACTTTTTCTTTTGCTTGAAACTTTTTGGGAGATTTTCCCACGTTAAAACATTCTCACATTTCTCCTTTTGCCTTTCACAGAAGACAGTTCAACTCCTCAGTGTGAGGAACATTTGTAATCTTCCAGCCAAACCAAGGCCGGAGAACTTTGTTCCCTGTTTTTCACCCTAATATTAGGAGATGTAGTATCACAGGTTGAATGTGGAGTTAAATTTGTGTTGTGAACAATGGGACATTTTGGGCACAGAAAAGCACTTTTGCAAGAACATGAAATTTGTTGAGAAGTTTAAGCAAAGAATAGCTTTATTTGGCACCTATCCTCTACTCGGTAAATCTTTATCCACATGCGTGCACATAAATAACCACTTAGTCCATTTTTCTGTCCTGCCCCCACTCAGATTCCCTGCTCTATGTTCTCAAGCCCTTGAGCACTTGGTATCTCTCTTGCTGTCACCTCTCTGCTTTGTGCTCTCGGGTTTGCCTACACACTTGTTTAACTTAGTGTTACATTCCTTACATTCCGGTCCCGCCAACTGAAAGTAGGTGAATTCTGAACTAGCTGTTTTGTCCAGTTACCGGTGTCAGAAGTAGAGAAACGGCTTCAATAAAAGATCATTTATGTGGCTGTGAAATATCTTTTTCTGGACCCAAAATGCTCCATAACCTGCTCACAATTGAAACAAATATAATTCCATACTTGAGTTAAACCTCAGCAACTGGAGCCCAAGAACAATGTTTTCTCTGCTAATGTTAGAGGCCCGGTGATCCATCAATGACAAAAAAAAAAGTCTGTCCTATGTTTTTAACTGGATAATAATACTTTGACCTATTATTTCAATTCGGTGTATGCTGTGAAAGTTAGCTTTTGTATTTTGGTTTGATGAAACCAAAAACTGCCTCCAGAGCACCTCTGCTTTGGAGAAACCTTTGAACCACCACAAATCAACATTTTCTCTGTAATGAATTGGAAACTTCTCTAAATGGAGTTGCAGAGACTGTGTGATCCCAGAGTCCTGTGTACTATGTGTTGTTCCCGTATATTCGAAGCACTTGAGCCAGCTGTTATGAAATCCAAAAATGCATCCAAACATCTCACCAAGGAAAATTCCTCTGATGTGTTCATGCCATCCTTGAGTCTGTGCCACACACAGCTGGTCTGGTTAAACATGGCTCTCCTGACGTGAGCCTTTATCTGTGCCACCATTACAGCATCATGTCAGCCCAGCAGCGTCACTCCAGCGGGTCTCAATGCCTTTGTTTTTCTGCAACTCGCATCACGTCTGTTATCCTTTAAGTAAGATCAGTGAAACTAAAGTCCAGAATAAAATATATTTTGATAAAAGTTTTGAGTTTGTGTTTGTGTATGTGTGTGTGTGTGTGTGTGTGTCTAGCAATGCTGTGTAAAATTGGTGCTAAAATAGCACCATGGGGTAACAGCTCTCATGTCAATGTTTGTTCTGACATAAATCATGACTGACTAATTTACAGTACTTGGATTTGATTTTAAAAAATTGAATTCAAAGAAACCTGACCCTCCCTCACATCCTCATGCTGGTGCACGGCTGGCTCCGGTGAAGTTAGAGGCGCACTTCAGTCTCATTGATTTCAAGAAGGAATTTTAAAGGTGGGAGGAAGGGGATGTTTTCGACACTTTCGCATTATCACCTGGAGGAAAGTCGCTGCCATTTGGTTCAAGTACTTTGATTACTTTGCCATTTTGTGTAGTTAACTTCTGAAACTACAAACAGTTTTGAGCCATAAAAGGAAAGGAAAGAGTTTCACATGTGTAAAAGGGCAAAAAAGTCTGGGCCTGACTCTGTGGACATAAGCTGTATCTCAATCCTTCATGTCTTCTGGGGTCTAAGTGTAGACTTTGGCTGGGTCCCACAGGGACAGTCTGAGGCTGGTCCCGAAGCTGCTCCAGTGTCTTGGCCGTCTACTTCAGGCCACTGTGGTACTGAACTCGGGTTTTCTTCCAGGACCTCTCTGTGTTTGGCTGAATTCATCCTTCCCTTAGTTCTGACCAGTCTCCCTGCCCCTGCTGCTGAGAACCCCCCCCCCCCCCC